AAGAAATAAAATTTTCTCTTCAATTTCAGGTTTTAAAGTTGATTTGACTTTTTATTGCAATCCACATTTAAGATCATAGCCTCTGATTGCTTTAACAAGTTGTCTTTGAAGAGGGATTGCAAATAAAATGTTTAAAATCATCATATATTTTAACCTCATGTATCATAAATGGTTGCATATCAGTGACACAAAAAATTACAACGAGTGTTATAAAAAGAAGAGGAAAGTCACTACTTGTGATGGATAGTGATGGGACCAATGGCACTAGACGAGGAAATAACGGCGCAACTCTCATAGCATAATGCCCTAAATCATGAAACAAGATTTAATCGAGCTGACTTGGGAGCCATAGCCGAATCGGGTTAGGCTTGAACTCGAGCCATATAATATAAGAGTTCTAATTTGATTTTAATCTCATAGCACAATAATCTCAATTTGCGAGCTCAATCTAGTTCAAAACACGGCTCAACTCACTTCCACTCGTACAAATCACCATTGATTCAATTTTACTCATCATTTCGAGTATATTTCATATATTTGCAGAGAGTTAAAAGCATGATATTTTACTCATGGAGCCACAACCTTTTGAGGAATGCTTTGAAAGAAGATCAAAGTTAACCACATGGAATTTTGCCTCTATATAGAGTTATCCAGAATTGTGTCAAAATAAAACATCTTATGGTTATTTGACCCTATTCATTAATACGCGAGAGAAAAAATTTATCATTGCTAAGATATTGATGGTCAAGACTCAACTACCAAAGTCCCTTGATGCTCATGAGACTAATTAAATTGCTTGGGTCAATCAATAATTAGTATGTCTGAATAGTGTATACACTTTAAAAAGCCTTCCAAACCACTTAACTATGAATATGGCAAACTATCAAATTGGTGAATCGCCAAACTGTCGAACTGACGAATCGCTAAACTACTGAACTGTCAAATTGATTAACTGTCAAACTGCCCAACTGTCGAATTGTTGAACAGCCCAGTTGTCGAGCTGTCCAACTATTGAATTGCCCAGATGTCGAATTGTTGAATTACTGAACTGTCAAACTGCTGAACTCAATTATATGGCAAGACTTGACATAATATAAAGCTACATGAAGTGATATAATATTATATACAATTTTATATTTTTATTTTGTACCATGAAAAATGAAGACTCAAGACTTATAAATAGGGGTCAAATGTCAAAATATGAGAAAAATGACTCTTTCTCTTCCCATGGGTTGTTTCTCCTCTCTTTCTTTATCTCTCTTTCGTCCAATGCTAGTAGGAATTAGTCATAACTCAAGAATAATATGGAACCCGACATCCAAAACGAGTTTAGCAGTCTTTCAATGTTGAATCCTTTTAGCACGTAGAGTCTCATATTATCTGTGAGTTATGTTGAAATCCTACTAGCATTGAACAAAAGAGAGAAAAAAAGAGAGATGAGCAGCCTGTAGGAAGGGAGTCATTTTTGCTCCTCCCTTGTTGTTACATTTGACCTTTGTACAAAATACAGATATAAAAAGGTACATAATGTTATATCACATTCTGCAGCTTTATATCACATCCTAAAGCTTTATGTTATGGTCTGCAGCTTTATGTCATGTCTTGTTATATAGTTGAATTCAGTAGTTTGGCGGTTCAACAACCGAGAAATTAGGCAGCTGGGCAGTTTAACAGCAGGGTAGTTCAGCAATTCAACATCTAAAAAATGCGGCAACAGCTAGGCAGTTTGGCAGTTGAGTAGTTTGACAATTTGGCAGCTAGGCAATACGGTAGTTGGGCAGTTTACCAGTTTGGTAGTTAGATAGCTCCAAAGGCCTTTTTAGGTGTATACAAATAATATCACATATTCATGACCCAAAGTATTTGATTATGTTCAGTCATCCCTAAAAAGAAATCATTACCGAAGGGAGATGTTGAGGACTTTTTTAATGTCTTTAGACATCATAAGTGAGTCATGAATGCTTAACAATAATAAAAATTTATAGAGGTGAAGACATCATAAGGGAGTCATAAATGCTTAACAATCATAAAAATTTATAGAGGTGACCCGATAGTCTACAACAACTTCAAAAATCTTTTAGAATTTATTGGAAGTCAAAGTAGAGGTTTTCATTTAAAAAATGCTAACCCTAAACTCTCCTAAACTCTTTCCTATTTTATTTGGGTCGCTCGATCCGACTCTGCTCAACTCTTCTTCTTTGTGGTGTGGCATTATCTTCCTCCTACACCCTCTTTTCCTCACACTCTCGTCAGTCTCAAGATGAGTCTCCGACTCCACTCCCTAACTCCAAGTCCTTCTCTCTCCAAAAGTCCTCTATGAGTGGATGAGAGCTTCTCAGTGATTTTTTGTCCCGAGACCAAAAGGCGAGCTCAAAAGCTTAAAATTTGGGTGGAAATGGAGGTCTGATTCCTCTCATCTCCTCTGCACTAGTCTCTTCCATCTAGGATTTTTACATAGTAGCATTTATTCTTTATCTTGATTCTTGAGTTCTTATTGTATGGTTTGAGGTTTGGAGCCGTAGAGATGGATTAAAGGATTAGTGAGCTTAACTTGCATGAGATTTTCAGTTTTCTTTCGTGTTTTTGATAGTTTAGTATTTAGGGTTTTCATGTAGATAATTCTTTTTGGTTTTAGTGTTCTCCAATTGCTTTGTTGATTGTTTATCTGGCCTTTGGAGAGTGGAGAACAGTCTGAATGGGAGAAGTGAATGCAGATGTTTTTTTTATTAATTTTTCAAAATAGGAGATAGTGTGATAATGTCAATTGACTGGTTGAGAATCATGTGGTTGTGGACTGATCTTTTGGCCGTGTTGTTTCCTCTGTTATAGCACTGTAAACTTGTGCTTGTCTTAATTGTTCATACTATTTACAGGTTTTTTTTTTCTCACTAATATGTCATGTGTGTTATCAGTTATCACTTATCTGGATTTTAAGCAAGTTAAAGCAAGGTGGCATGATTCATAATTGGAATTAATGTTCTCTTATTAGAGAGAGGTTTTTGTGATAATTTACAGTGACTCTTAGTTGTTTAACATTTAGGTTGTTGTTGTCTTGTTGCTTTACATATGTGGCTCAAAGATTGGCTTAAATTTTCAGCCTCTAGTGACAGTTTCTTAACTCACAGCAATCAGCATATGTGTATGTGTATGTTTACTTTGGTTGCTCTTTGCTTGCAGCATTTAGAAGCAATGTTCTATGTATTTTTTTTTCTTTTCAAGAACATGCTCTGTCTCTGTAGTTGATTAAATGGAAACAAGCAATATGGCATATTTTTTCAATGGTAGTTAATTAGATGTAATTTCATCAATTTTAAATGTATTTAGATTTTTGTTTGGTAAAACTTATTATTAAAATTGCATGAAAATTTTCCAATTTCAAAACTTTTTTTAAAAAATTTTCTGCAATTTTTAAAGAGTTTTCTAGTTAATTCGAGCCAAACGAGCTTTATTTGAATAAGTCAAACTATTTTTAGCTTAATCGAATGAAACATATTTTTTCAGTTATTATCAAGCTATTTTGAGAATAAACAAACAATTCGAACCAAATTCAAACAAATCAAACTGAATATGAACATAAATTTCACAAATAAACTTAAATACGAGCCGATTTCAAACAAAAACAATTTCAAACAAGTCGAACATGAACAGGATGTCAGCTCGTTCATGTTCAACCTGTTTACACCCTTACCTATGAGTAACTGAAACTATAATGTCATACAGTTTGATTCTCTAAAAGATAGTGACATTTCCTCTTGCTCGGATTGGTGGGAAGTGCTCGAAACATTGTGTAACTCCTTAAGATACATTGACCATGAAGGTATATGAATAAACACATCTCTATAGGATAATACTTACTTTTTTCCAAAAACTATAATGTTAAATGCTCGACTCTCATGACATCCAACTTTTCTGTGTCTATTAGTCTCCCCATCCCTCTTTTACAATTCTATATCTCTATTTTTCAAGTTTGAAACTGAAGAAGAGCTCATTATTGTTTCGATGGAAGTAGTGGAATCAAATCGGGTTCATAGGTCTGGCTTGAGTTTACCCTGAAATTGACCCGACTCAAATTAGCTTGACCTAAACTCAACCCGAATATTAAATGATTCAAAAAGTCTAACACAAATCTGACCCATCTTAAACCCAACTCTGACTCAAAAAAGACATAAAACAAAGCAGAAAAGTTATAGGGAATTTTATATATGCATAATAGTTACATGGGTTAAATACGGGTTAGTCAAATTCAGGTCAATTTTAGTTTGGTGGGGCATACCAAACCAAACACGAAAAAATTAAACTTATTAGGATTTTAAATTTGAACTCAAAATCCGGATTTTCGAGTCGTGCTTAAGTTGAGTTAGCATGTCAAATCAATGGTTGACAACCCTAGATGGAATTATATTCTTGTCGAACACATATTCTCCTTAGTTTAGTTTCTTAGAATTGCTTCATTCACCATGATATTCCTTTATCATAAAGTCCTTACCCATCAAAAAAAAAAAAAAACTAGATTTAATTTATTTGTTACAACACAAGCTACATGCCCATTTTCTGATTAACTCACACGAGAATAGAGTCGAAATTTTATCATCATTGTTTGATTCAGTTTTACTTAATTTTCAAATTGAATTATTTGTACCATAAAAGAAAGTATTGATTCTTTTGAACTTAATGCTTTACAAAAATAATTCAACTATGCTAAATATCTGGTTTAATTATCTTTTCAGTAAAAACTATTGGTCAAAGCTAAAACAGTCAGACTTCAATCGTCAACAGAAAAAACTCTCATGTGCCAAACCATGTACCAGAAGGGCATTAACTAATCTCTAAACTCATCCGAGAATTGTATGTCGTTATATATGGTTACTTCTCCAAGCAAGGCTAATTCTATCACTCAGTTCTCTTCATGTCTTTGTCCTGTTATAGCTAAAGAATGATATCACATTGAGTTTAATTGATGGTAGGAATAATTAAAAGAAGATGAAGACAGGAATCCTTACCACATGCAAGGCCAGGCGAGCAACCAAGTTCCAATGGGCTTATCCAAACGAGCGAGCAGAGCATAAGGTTGCACGGAGACGGGAAGGTAGGAATGAATCCAGCTAGAAGACGAGGAGAGAGCCTGCGTTTTTCCTCCACCTTCCGGCCGTCGGTTTCCACTGCCCTCTGTCGACCCTGATGAGCTCGAAATGGAGGCCAGGGATAGTTTATAACAACAAAGTACATCGAGCACTCTCCGACTCGGAAAAAGCGGAATTGGGCAGCCTAGAGTTCCGAAGGTGGTAAGTGGAAGATGCTCAATGTTCTCGACAGAGCTAGGGTTTTGGCGATGGGAAGAAGATGAGGGTGAAGCTGAGAGGATGGAGAGGATAGAAATTGGAGAAGATCGAAGGCGAAGCCTGCGAAGGGAGTTGGATAACCATATCGCCATTTCGGTTGCGACCACCCTTCGAAGGTTTGTTTAGGGTTTTAGCTTGCAGCTTCCAGTTTCAGGCAATTAGGGAAAAGAGGGAAATCAGACCCGTTTAGTTCTGGCGTTCATGCCATATGACGTGGATGTCATCATTTTAAACCTGGAGAATATATTATTGCGTATAATACATATGAATGCGGTGTCCGATTATGATCCTAAATCACGGTAATTTATAATTAGGATGGAATAATTTTTTTTTAAAAAAAAAATTTAAAGTGAGTCCACCGAAATACATCCTGACTGTAGATCACGTGATCTGCGGTCAGGATCGGACACCGCATGCATCTTTGCAGTGTCCATATGCAATAATTTTTTGGAGAATATATGATTGTAATATACTAAGACCATTCAAAAAAAATTCAGAATAATAAAATAAATTATTATTATTATTTTGTAGTTTAATAATTAAACTTGGCATTCAAATCACTTATCAATATCGGCTTATTCACATGAACTTATATTTTAAAAAGCAAAAAAAAAAAAGACTATTTCAAAAAAAAAAATTATTTTTATTTTCAACTGGCATGCATAAAACATAAAACATTAAGGTTGGCATATTTAACACATAAAATTTACTATTTGCATTTATAAGAGTTACATTCGGTCTTTGAAGTCATTGTGGCCTCTAACCTTACCACCTTCTATTTTGTCGCCTTCAATTCATCCTCTCTGAACTTGCCACTTATGATGACACTGTCTCCACCTAAAGTTGGAGCAAATATTACGTGTGAAGATCACACGTCCGACCGACTATTCGGATCATCTTCCGGGCGTGCTGTCTGCCACACAAAATATTTTTTTCTCAAAGTTGTCATGCTCGTCTTGCCATCACTGAGCTTTTGCCATTTAAGACCATGCAGATCCACCAACATTCAATAACCATAAGCTAAAAGTGTTTCGTTGCTGAAGGTAGCTCACCTCTTCTCACATTGTGTTTGGCAATGCGTCACATACAAGATCTTTGATAATATAAATAGTGAGTTTATATATTGCTAATTATGTAAATAGAGAGAGAGAGAGAGAGAGAGAGAGAGAGAGGGGTTAAGACGTACAAGCCTTGGAATCATTCAATTAGGTGATGGGCCATTTGTGAAAGTTAATCAATGTAAGGTTTGCTGCCATTATTTTGCTTTAGTTTGTTGATTATAATTTTTATGTAATTTTTCATGCTTAATTTGGAGAGATTACAAAATAAAGATTTTTCAATATTTGTTAATTTTTAACCTATAAGCTTTGCTATGTTAATGTCGTATTTATTTTACATATTATGTTATGATCATATTGAATTCCATCAATATTTCATGTCATGTGGTATTGTGGGTATGTTAGTGAGCCTATAAATTGGGACCACAATATTCAGTTTGTAAATATTATATATAGTTGTATTTTATGATTCATACTTATAGAATTGATTATATTGATTATTTTTACTAATTCAACTATTTTTCATTGTTCATGCTAAGTATTCTTATATACTAATGTAATATAATATAAAATATCTATATTTATTGGAAATATTGATTTTTTTGTGCATTTACTATGTAAGTTATTTGACTGACAAGTTTGTGGCGAATTGCATGCATGTTCACTATAAAGCTTAAAAGCTAGTGTTATACATGTATTTTTAAAAATAAGACTTTTAATTAGAAAATTATGTAATGCACATTAAAAATAAAGGCTCTCAGGCATATTTGAATGAATGTGTAAATATATAAAGAGAGATAGAGGATTTATCTTTGAAATACTTTGGTAGTATAAGAGCACTTGAAAAATTGAATATGAAATTTTAAAAAATAATATTTATTTTTATTATCATTTTATATTATAATAATTATGTAATAATTTGATATTTATATATGGCTTATAACATATGTCTTTAATATTACACATAATGCTTGATATAGCACAATATTTAGAATGGTGAAGCATTATATTTGGCATTACTTGCTTATGATGAATTTTGTGATTTTTTTTTAATACAATATGCTTTACTATTCGTGATGTGCTAGTATATTGGTATGCATAATGTTTATTATAAGTTTACTGCCATATACTAATTTTTTTATGCTCACTTATAGTTTATCTATATTTTTTTATCTTAAAAATAGAAGGGGGAACAATCAATTTGTTTTTATGTCTTTTAATAGGTTGTATTATATTTTTAAAGTCATAATGATATTATGTTTTGATAGATGAAGATATATACAACATGATTATTTAATATGAACTTTTTTGGTTATATAGTTTTAAAATATAAAATTAAATGTTATTGATGATTTATGTAAATATGTTTTCTAATAAAGTATTAGTGGCTCTATGTTATCTTAAACAATGGATGGAAGATAATTCCTCGCATAGATATTTGATAATGCATATTATTGCACATCCAAAATGATATGATTTGCATCAAATACGATTTACTTTGATTTGGATGGTGATAGTAGTCACAATTTCACAAGCATGATTGTGCATGGCTAAGTGATCAAGAGGTATTGATGTCATTGTTAAGTTACTTAATTTATTTAATCAAATAAACTTATACACATTCATATATATACATTTGATTTTTAGTTAAAGAAGAGAATTTATAGCACATGTTTGATGGTTTATACATATTGTTATAATTGAAAGTACATATACATTAGCTTAATGCATCTTCATTCATCATAAACCCAAATTGACAACACACACATATTTGAACTATGTTGCTAGGCCCATTTATTTGTCTCTTAGCAAATTTTAGCATTTTAATCTAAAAAAAATCACATTTGGCTAAATTATGACCTCATTTAGTAGCTTCAAAGAAAGTCCCTCATGCGCAAAACTGAGCTTGTGAGATACTCTAAAAGTTAGTGAGCGATAAGAGATGCTACAACAGTGTAGTTACTTGGTTTCCTCCACATCATCGATCCAAATGTTAACATTTAATCATGTCAATTTAACCTTTTGAGACTGTGTTTGAATTGTGTAGAGATTCAGTGGACTGTTAATTACTTTGAAAACTAAATTCACTAATATATTTTGTAGATTGGACTGTTTCCGCTCATTTTTCTTTTTTTTTTTATTTTAAAAGAAGTCGTCGTCTTGTCGATCATCCTATATTTTTCTTGTTCGAATAAATATCTCTCTCAAACTAAATCAATGATTTGAAGAGGAGATGAACCGAATAAGAAGTGACATACAATAAAGTGACAAACAAGAGAAAAGAAAACGTAGAGAGCTTACATGTGATAAACCTCGCATGGATAGGTCAAGTATGTCCGCTCAAACAAGATTGGGCAGAGACACGTTGGACTAATATCCGCAAAAGAAGTATCTACGTAGACTACTCATAACTAGAGAGTCAGGTGTATGTACCTGTTCTGGGATCAATAACACTCGCAGATAAACACATTCATACTGGTTAATTACATCTTAAAGTATATCCAAGAATATTTTTGATAAAATGAGCTTCGCTTATATTATCATGAACATGAGGTAATAGCTCATCGAAGGAAGGATATTTCGTGTGAGAAAGTCTAGATGCATTAAAGCTCTTGCTAAGTCATCAGGCAGAAAGCGAGTCTCTCACATAACTAATTGGTAGCACCTCATCGATATACATGTTGACCTAATTTTTTATGAGGTCAAATTCTTCTCTTTAGAAGCCTAGGACCAAGCTCTAGGACTTTCCTATGGACTATCTTAGAGGAATAGTAAAGGAAATCCATACCCCATTTAGAAATTCAAATCAATTCTTAACTTCTCTTGTGAGTCCCACCTGAGTGGTCACAAGCCCAGAAATGTCATTTTGGGATGGCTAAGACCAACATGTGGAGACTCAAGAGTAAGTTCCCATAGGTTCAACTAGGCCTTAAGACAACACTGGGTGGTTTAGGATTGGTCTCACACACACCTACACACACTCAAACCCATCAAATTTCCTACATGCCCCAAAAACCTAAAATCACATGCACTCGTAAGATGGCTAAGACCAACATGTGGAGACTCAAAATGAGTTCTTATTTGGTGTCTTATGGTCCTAGGATGGTTATCCATGACATGTATGATTACCTTATCAAAGTTACCCAAAATTCTCAAATTGCCCCAACTTTTATCAAATTCATTTCAAATGCACTCAGCTTTAAATTCAAGACCAACTCCACTAAAATTCCAAACCTAAATTCAAACTCAAGCTAAACCACCCCAAATTGAACCTAAATCCAATTTTCACCAAAATTAAACCCATGAGCCAAAATTAAATTTCACCATATGCAAGTCCAAATTTCATAATGACAAATCCTAAATTTCTTCAAGCCCAAAGTTAACCCTATCATCCTTAATTTTAAAAGCCCACCATACCTAATCTTAAAAAAGCCCAAGTTTAATTTCCCTTTTAAAAGCCCAAGCTCACATCATGCATCCTGTATGAACCCATCCATTTTTTGTCCCATGGCCCTCTCTCACCAAATTTTCAAAATCCCTTAAATCCTCTTTCATGAAAATTGATCATGGTCTCATGCATGTCATGGAGTAACTCATGGAGCCATCCATGAACATCATATAGGTCATATACACCAAATGTGGCAAAAGGAGGACTTCTTTCACCTCCCACCAAAGTGGCTTAAAAAAACCTTAAACCCACCAAATTCATATTCTCCATGCCAAATCAATCACCCAAGCCCCTAGAAGTTGACCCATCAACTCCAACCACCTTGGACTTGACCCCAAGCCATTTCCATGGGGTTGAACCCATGGTTAACCCAACCTAACCCAAACTCATTGCCCACTTTGGAAAAATTGCAATTACCCATGCTTGGACCAAATTGACTTCACATCTCCCAAATTCTGACCTCCCATAGTGTGGAGATAACTTTGCCTGATAGGCCAGCCACCCCTTGCCATCAAAACACACCATGGCCGAGAGAACCACTATGTGGAGAACACCCAATTAGGTCCATCCAAGCTAGCTTAACCCAATTGGTCACTGAACTTCTTCTTCTTTCCACTTAAGCAGACCTTTGCTTCCGCTGACCAACCCGATTGAGCCCTCCTTCCTCCTTTATGAATAAGCCACCACCCCAT